AGAAGCATTGCCACTGTTACTACAGCAGTTGCAAATGGAGACTTTTCACAGAAAATTGAAGTTGAGGCGTCTGGAGAAATATTGGAATTAAAAAATACACTTAATAGAATGGTTGACTTTTTGCAAGTATTTGCATCGGAAGTCGCTAAAGTTGCTAAAGATGTTGGAATTGATGGTAAATTGGGTGTGCAAGCTCAGGTTTCTAGTATTAATGGGTTGTGGAAAGAAGTCACTGACAATGTTAATGCCATGGCAGACAACCTTACAAATCAAGTCAGAAGTATTGCAACAGTCACTACGGCTGTTGCCAGAGGTGATTTTTCTCAAAAGATATTGGTTGAAGCTAAGGGAGAAATAGCTCAGCTAAAAGATACAATTAATACAATGGTCGATTCTTTACAATTATTTGCTTCAGAAGTAGCAAAAGTGGCAAGAGATGTTGGAATTGATGGTAAATTAGGAGTTCAAGCACATGTTTCAAACGTTGATGGATTGTGGAAAGAGTTAACAAACAATGTCAATGCCATGGCTGATAATTTGACAAATCAAGTTAGAAGTATAGCTACCGTGACAACAGCAGTTGCAAAGGGAGACCTCAGTCAGAAGATAGAGGTAGAAGCTAAGGGTGAAATTTTGGAGCTCAAGGATACTATTAACTCAATGGTTGATTCGCTTGATGTGTTTGTTTTTGAGGTAAGTCGTGTTGCTACTCAAGTTGGTATTCATGGAATTTTAGGTGTGCAGGCCAGAGTAACAAATGTTGATGGTGTTTGGAAAGAAATTACGACTAATGTCAACTTGATGGCAGAAAGTATTACAACACAAGTCAGAGCGTTTGGAAAAATTACAACTGCAGCAGCAGCGGGTGATTTTTCTAGTTTTATTACGATTGAGGCAAATGGTGAATTAGATGAGCTTAAGAAAAAGATCAATATGATGGTTTCTAGCTTAAAGGAATCTTTTCAAAAAAACTCAAGAGCTAGAAGAGCTGCTGAAGCTGCAAATAGCGCAAAATCCGAATTTCTTGCCAATATGTCTCACGAAATTCGAACACCCATGAATGGTATCATCGGTATGACTCAATTGACGATGGATAGTAAATTAACGCAGTATCAGCGTCAAATGTTATCAATTGTCAATAATTTAGCCAATTCATTATTAGTTATTATTGATGACATATTAGATATATCAAAAATTGAAGCAAATAAAATGTATGTTGAGATGGCAGATTTCAGTGTTAGAAGCACTGTTTTTGGTGCTCTTAAGACCCTAGCAGCCAAAGCTATAGAAAGAAAATTGAATTTAATTTATCAAGTTGATGAATCATTTCCTGATAATTTACTTGGTGACTCATTTAGATTCCGGCAGGTGATTATTAATTTAGTTGGGAATGCTATAAAGTTTACAAAAAAAGGTGAAGTCCGTCTATCTGTTAAGCTATATGGAAAGAAAGAAGAAGAAGAAGATTTTCAAAAATACCCAAGTGTTGGACCAAAGAAAATTAGAATTAAAGAACAAGCTGATGATGAAGATGATTTTTTTATTGAAGTTGAAGCAGATGAAGATGGGGACGAAGGTGACGAAGAAGAGGATAATCAGAAATTGAAAAAATATATTTATTGCGCTGATAAAGCTACCAATGATAAAAACAGTAAAGATAAAAATAAAATTCTCCTTGACGATCCAGATTTGTTAAAACTAAAGTTTGCAGTCACTGATACTGGTATTGGAATAGAAAAATCAAAATTAAATTTAATATTTGATACTTTTTCACAAGCAGATGGATCGACCACCAGAAGGTTTGGAGGTACTGGATTAGGTTTATCGATTTCTAAACAGCTAATTGAATTGATGGGTGGCAGGATCTGGGTCACTTCTGAGTATGGAAAAGGCTCTCAGTTTTTCTTTAGTGTGGTGGTAAAAAGATCTAACGTTCCTTTATCGAGTCAAGTAGAGAAACTTATTCCATATTTGGCTAAAAACGTTTTAGTTATCTTTACAAAACATAGTGATGAGCAAACAAATAGAATCAGAGAGTTATTGGTTGAACTTCAATTCCATCCAACCATTCTCAGATCTTTCATGGGTATATCCAAAGCAAAACCTTTTACCCATGATATCATTATAATGGATACTATTAGGGCAGCGGAAAAATTAAGACAGTTATCAGATGTCAAGTATGTTCCTTTGGTTTTACTTAACCCAGGACCTGATGTATTGAACATGAAAACAGCATTGGATTTAGGTATAAGTGTTCATGGAAATACACCACTTTCGGCAAATGATCTTGCATGTCTATTGAAACCAGCTCTAGAAACTAGATTGCCTTTTCCAAATAAAGACGGGCCAATTTCTTATAAAATACTATTGGCTGAGGATAATGTTGTTAATCAAAAGGTGGCATCAAGAATCCTTGAAAAGCATGGCCATAAAGTCAAAGTTGCTGAGAATGGATTGCGAGCATTTGAGGTAGTAAAGGACCAAAATAATCGCTTTGATTGTGTTTTAATGGACGTTCAAATGCCTGTTGCTTCTGGGTTTGAGGCCACTGAAATGATCAGAAACTGGGAACGTGAAAATAATAAAGAACGTATTCCAATTATAGCATTAACAGCTCATGCAATGCTTGGAGATAAGGAAAAATGTCTTGATGCTGATATGGACGAGTATTTATCAAAGCCATTAAACGCGACTACTATGATTCAAACTATAGCTCGATGTGTTCAAAATATGCAAAGAGCAGAAGAAATAACCAGGCAAACCATCGAATACAACAGTGGTGCAATCTAAGACTATTTTTTCCATATAATATTTTCAACTGGTCTTTTGTATTTTAATAACATATTTTAAATTGATGACAGAAAAATTGCACTGAGGTTTTTAATTTTCGAAGACAAGATTTTACTTTTATTATTTGTTAGATCAGGTGAAGGAAATGAATACAATTGAGAAGATTGGGAAAATTAAGAGAATCGTTTGGTTTAGAGGTGTTTATTTTTTTAAGTGAACTATTTGAATAATTTTATTTGTTCATTTATATGAAGTTTATTTTATTTTATTTTATTTTATTTTATTTTATTTTATTTTATTTTATTTTGGTTTTTTAGTTTTTTAGTTTTTTAGTTATCTAGGGATTTTGTTTTGTATTAATTGTGGTTTTTTTATTTTTAGGAGTTTTTATTCCTTTTTGATTACATGGAACTCTTTTTAAATATTGTATAATTTTGTTAAGGTTTATTTTGAGATTTGCTTATTTTCTGTCTATTATTTTTATTAATGGATTTGTTTTCCTCAATATGTTCTGATTCCATTCATCGATCTAAAGTGACTGTACAGAGAATCAATAAAAATTATCGTTTTCTTGCAGGTATATACTGATTGAAAATGTCCTTTACTGACCTGAGCTATTGATTAAGCCATATTACAAAATATTTGAAACTATTTTACAAATTCGATTTGAGGCAAAATGTCAAATTGGAAAATTTGTTGGGGATAAATCAAAAGTTCTTTAAAGTCCCGATTAAGAAATTTTCTTTACAAAAAATATATCACTTTTGTGACAAATTTTAAGGTTTGGATTTTATGCTGGATAAAAAGAAAAGCTCATCATCTGAAATATTCCTCAAATCATTCAAATGAAATGAAAACCGTAGCTCCAGAATAAAATTAAAACACTTCTTGATGAACATGTCCATAAATCTACGAAACATATCAGATTGTGAAAAAAAAAGAAGCAAATAACAAAAAAAAGCAGGTCTAATTTGAGGTAGAATAAACAAAATGTGAAACTAATACATTAATCAACTAATATAAATAAACAGAATTTTCTTTGGAATTTATCTTATCAACTGAACTACTAAGTTAATTTAGACTACCAGTTTATTGGTGAAATCAAAATTTTATAACTGTCGAATCTCTAAATATGTTCCATTTCTATTACTTTTATTCCGTTCTTTCATTTTTTCTATTTTTTCAAACAAAAAAGTTCTTTGCGTTTGCTGAATTAACAACTATTACTTGGAATCAATGTGATCCAATAACACAAGATGGTGCAATTTCTCTCAGCTGTTATATTACAAGTACCTCTGGCGATGTATCTGATTTTGTTGTTTTAACCACCACTAACGTTGTTACACTTACAACTTGTTATCTAGTCACCGAAACATCGACTGAAGATATTATCATCACATCAACTATTTCTTGCTCTTCTGAATCATGTTCCAAAACAACATATACCACTCCAACCACCTACACCACAGAATATTCAAAAACTTTTGCAATTACAACAGATTCCATTCCAGCTGACCAAACTGAAACAATCACATCATCAACTAGTGAAACAGACGAATCTATGACAAGTGAAAATGTGATTACTTCAACGACACTAGCGAGTATTAGCTCGGAATTGTTCTCTTCATCAACAACAAGTGCATCAAATACAGAGCAAGCAACTTCATCAATTGGAACATGCGATTTAACGACATATACTTCTTATACAACTGATGAGGTCGGAAATCAAATCACTTTTATTAGTTCAGATTGTTTAGAAACTTCAATTCCAACTTCGTCAGCATTGCAAACTGATTCTTGTGAATTAAAAACTTATACCTCCTACTCAACTGATGAGTTCGGAACAAAAGTCACATACACAAGCACTGGATGTTCAGAAACATTCTTTCCTAATATTTCAGAGAGTAGTTGTGATTTAACGACCTATACTTCAACTGATGAGTTAAATAACAAAATCACTTACATTAGTTCTGGATGCTCTGGAAATTTCTTCCCAAATATTGTATCAACCAGTACTTTATTGACAGTAATTTCATCAACAGACATTTCATCTACTGTTGCCATATCTTCTGTTGCCATATCTTCTGATATTTTATCTTCTGCTGTTGTGTCATCTGATATCATATCAAATGGTATTGTATCGACATCTATTGAAGAAGAAAGTTGCACTCTTACTATTCATACTTCTTACTCAACTGATGATTCTGGTAAAGAAGCCACTTATGTTACTTCGCACTGTGAAGAAACCACTTATCCAAACGGTTCTGATATTATAACAACCACATTGACTACTAAAATTTCGGATGAAAAAACTGTATATGTAACCACTTATCCTTCATCTGAACTATATGAACCATCATACAACAATGAAATAGTTACTTCAACATTGAACACTATTATCTCTGGAGAAACAACTGTCGAAGAGTCACATAGCAGCCACTCAACTTCAGCTAGTTCAGAAATAACTGTGGTTGGAACTGAGACAAGCTTAGATTCTGAAAGTTCTTTTGCTACTAGCACAATTTCCACTAGTCCTTATCACTCAGAAGAAGATTTTTTTTCATATGAAAGCAAAAGCAGCTTGGACGCAAATTATGTTCAAAGCAGTTCCAATGTTGCTGGATCATCTTCCACAACTTTGATCAACATACCAGCAATCAGTGGATATAACTCAACCTCGACATCTGTTCAAGAGCAACCAAGTGTCGATATCTATTCAGGCCTTGGAAATCCAGGCAAGTCAATTGGACTCAGCTCAGTTTTGGCAGCTCCATTTGTTATCATAATGTTTATTTAGATAGCTGATGCAGACCAGTTTTTTAGTATATAATATTGTTTTGAGGTTTTGTTTTTAAATCTCTTCTGTTTTCTTTATGTATTTGTTAATTTAATTTTCTGAATATTACAATACTTTGCTTTCTCTTAGAGTTTAGTGGCGATTCCGTAGAAAAACCTTATTTACGCTGAGAAGGAAATTCCATGAAGAGAGTTTTGGCTTTCGGCGGCAACTCTGAGCTGAAGAATTATATCAAGCACAAAGCATTCGACTCAGAGACACTTAGAGATGATTGGAGTGGGCACCAGGTTGATGCTAGGTGTACCTGTGAGGAGGAGCCTCGCTACTTTACCCTTTACTGCTGTGGCATCAGTGTCCAAGTCGCAGATCAGGCTGTTGTTGATTGTATCAAGTGGAAAGAGAGCTGTTTTTTCGGGAATCCCATCAACTGAGTTGAGAAATTTTTCAAGCACAAGATGTTGTGGTGATATTCTGCAAAACAAAGGACAGCTTCATGGTATTGCCAACGCAAGACCTTATGGGAGATTTAATCTCAGAAATTACATTGGATCCAGCAAAATCCTACTGTTGTTGAAACGAAATTATGCGACATACAGAGATTTAGGGTATATCAAGAGCTACAACTTTAATAGTGGCAGTGATAGAAGAAAAAATTTCATTAGAGCTACAATTTTTGCAATACTATTTATGGCTGCATCAAGTTTTATCGTACCGAAAGTTGTCTCCAATGTCTTTCCTGGACTAAAAAGAAATCCAAATCTTTTGATATACGGTATTTTGGGATTAAATGGGATCGTTTTCTTATTATGGAGAGCATCAGCATCAAATGCGAGGAGTTTTGCAAAACTTAGTCAGATTTTGAATAAGGTCTTCTTAATGAATTCATTTAAAACGAATTTTCCATCAATGATATTCTCTACTTTTTCACATCAAGATTTTTTCCATTTGCTATTCAATATGCTATGCTTGTATTCATTTGGAAGCTCATTGGTCCATATAATTGGGCCATCGAATTTTTTGACAATGTATCTCAACTCGGGGGTGTTTGCATCGTGGTTCTCGCTTTTGGCGAGTCTTTTCAGGTTGTCGGCGACTTCTGCAGCGATTTACTCATTGGGAGCCTCGGGAGCATTGTTTGGAGTGTTTGGGTGTTTTAGTTATTTGCTTCCCAGCGCTGGTGTGAGCATTTTCTTCTTTCCTATCCCTGGCGGAGCATGGAATGCCTTTTTGCTATCCAATGTGGGCAATGTGTTGGGAATTGTGCTCAAGTGGGGGAGCTTTGACTACGCAGCACACTTAGGAGGAGCCCTTCTAGGGTGCTACTATGGCTACTTGATCAAAAAGAAGCACGACGAGAGAAGCAGAAGAAGAAGCAGCTCCCTCTTCGACGTCTTCAGATAAACACAGGAAAAAAAGAACCACCAAACTGGATGGTCACGTTTGCCACTGTGATACCATGCAAACACACGCATGCTGCATAAACCATCAAAAGGGTACAAAACCTGCTGTGAAACCAGCCCTGTGGTACCAGCAGGGTAAGATTGCAACATAAAAATGCCACTTTTGCGGGTCTTATGCAACAACAATGTGTATTTATGCATTTCACTGTCGTGGACCAATTGGAGCGAGACCATCCAGGCGGTTGCATTACGCGACCCACACGCCCGGTCTCGTTTTCTGCAATTTTTTCTTTTCCTCAGAAATGCAGTCGGTATAAAAGATGTATATAACTTGTATATAAGTAGCGTATCACTTCTCTCACCTCCACCAGTCTCTGTTATCGCTTTCCAAGCATATTCTGATATTGATCTGCTCTATCTCTGGTCGACTCTTCTGGCTGCTTTTGTTTTTGCCAATTTCACTCCACTGCTCTGCGATACACCTGTTTCTCTGCTTCCAATTCACGAAAAGAAAACGAAAACGAAAACGAAATACAATACAATAGGTTAAAACGCCATTGTTCTCTCTCAACATGCCTCCTAAATTCCAGCCAAAGAAGTACTCAATGACTCCAATACCCAAGGAGTACATCTACTCCTCAACTCCCAGATACGTTCTCTCCATAATTCAACAACCAAAGCAAGCCAGGGCTTCAATAAACACTATTCGTTCTGTTGATCCTTGCCCGATTCTAAAAGTTTCTTTACTCAATGATCATGACAAAGACATAATCGACCATACCTACAACTTTTTGATTTGTACTGTTTCCTACGAATATATTGGTATTCCAGAGTACTTATCGATAAATAACTATCATACTCATACTCATAACCATAATAACACCGAAAACCAGCCCAATCAACTCAACCAAAACGATATCAACAATTTAACCAACCTAAGCAACTTGAATAATTTAAGTAACTTGAATAACTTGAGCCATTTGAACAATTTAAACAACTTGAACAGTTTAGCAAATTTAACCAGTTTAAACAGCTTAAACAATTTAAACGATCATAATCTTATAAATGCTCTCAATAAAGATAATGACATCAATCACCTTAAAAATGAAAATGACAATAAAGAAGATTACAATGAATTGAAACTAAAAAGATATAAAAAAAGAAGAATGAACATGATTGAAAATGATAAAGAAAAAATACTCTTTGGCACAACTTCAGTTTCTTGTAATATAATAAATTCAAAAGTAAACCAAGTCTTGAATAAAATTGATTTTCAAACCCCTAATAAGAGTAATTTTACCACTTTGAATTTGAAAACCCCTATAAATAAGACTAATAATAACAACAAAAATAATGAAACTATTCATGAAAATAATAAAAAAAACGATACAGAAAATAACAATAATAATAATAATAATAATAATAAAAATGAAAATGAAAATGAAAATGGAAACGAAAATGAAAACCAAAATAGTAATGATGATAATAATAAAATTAAAAATAATAATCTTAACAAAAACAATACAAAACAAATTGTATCTTTCAAAGGTGATAAAAACGTTTCTCCAGAAAATGTCAAGGCTTTTTTTGTCTTTAACAATTTAGCCATTAGATACGAAGGAAGATACAAATTAATCTTTAAATTGTTCGAAGTTCCAATAACAAGTTTGCTCTCTAATTACGACCCAAATAATTTGAATTCAAACTTAAACATCTTTTATAGATGTGAAATTAAAAGCGATCCAATTATTGTTTACTCTTCCAAAAATTTCCCTGGTTTAAAACCAACCCCTGAATTGCCTCTAAAATTAAAAGAATTGACCGGCTCGAAAATAAGATTAAGATATAAATCGTACCTGCGTTCTAAATCAATCTTAAATGATAACAAAAATACTAGCACTACCAACAACATTAATAAAAATAATAATATTAACACAAATAACAGTATAAATAATATCAATCAACTTAATTCAAATAAAGATAATAACAACTCGCCTCTTAATAACCAATCTTTTAATGACTCAAATAATAATTTAAAAGTTTTATCCGAAGCTTCAGCTATACTGGAACCAATCATCAAATCCATTCATGACAAAAATAAAGAAACCCCTTTAGATTCTGTTCCAAATCCAATTATTGATATCACAAGCACAGACAGTAGCGAAGACCACAATGAGGATCACAATACCAACAATAATAACAATAATAACAACAATAATATTACTATTGGTAATAATGTCAATAATAATGTCAATAATATCGATGGTAATGGTGATGTTATTATGACTGGTACTAATGATTCAAATATTGACCACCAAATGAACTATTTTCAAATTTCTCCTCAATCAACCTATATCCTTAATCAGATTCAAAATCAAAGCCAATTTCAATTTAACCAACAGAGTTTTATGCCTTCTCACTATCATATTTCAAACTCAAGTTCTTCAAATTTCCAAATTTCTAATATCTCTCCTGAACTTAAAAATCAAAATAACGACCAACTTTATAGCCAGATTCAGGCTCAACTAAATATTAAAAGTGATAAGAAATTAAATGAAGACATTATTTCTAATAAAGCTGATAATGATAAAGCTGATAATAATGATAATGATAACAATGATAATGATAACAATAATGACAATGATAATAATGATAGCAATGAAAACAAAAATTATAGCTATAACGATAAAGGTAATAATATTAAGAACAATATAGAAAGAGTGAATGATATCGATCTTGATAATGTCAATACTATTGGTGATAACGAAAATGAAAATGAAAATAGCAATAACCATAATGAAAATAACGATAATAATGATAATGAAAATAACAATAATAAAGATAATGATAACGATAATGATAATGAAAATAACAATGAAAATCTCAATGATAAAAAGAATAACAATGAAAATCTCAATGATAAAAAGAATAACAATGATAACAATGGTGATGCTCTAAAGCCAAAAAATTCAAACAATGGCAATTAAAATGATAATCAAGATTTTCATAAAAAATTCAGTCTTATAACAAGTTCATTGAGTGGACCACAAACTCCTCAAAAAAGCTAGATTACTATTATCTATTCAAAATCTAAAATTTTCTTTTTATCAACATTATGTTATGAGATTATTAAAATAGATAATCTTAAGTTTCTACTCAATCAGCACAACATTTTTTGAATCATCAAATATATCACTCAATATGATTAAGCTTTTTAATGCACTCGTTTATTTGAACAAGTTGAAAATCGCAAATTGAGGCTTGTGGTTATAAATCAAACAGTGCTTTGGTTATAGAGTAATTGGAGTAAAAATTTGGTTTTTGCTCAAAGATATCACATGTATATTAATGTGTATTAATGCAGCTCTGTGTACACTATCCACACTATCCTAAAAGGTATTTTGTTTAAATAAAATCCACAAGCCCCTTACACTTTTCTCATTTTGTTTTCAGAAAGATGTTATGAAATTATTTTGCATTGTTTATCATTATTTTATTGTGATCAAGAATAGTTTAGGTATGATTTTTATGGGTTTTGTATTAATTTAAGGATTTTTTGCGATATTTTAATCGATCTATAATAGCTAAAGGACAAAGTTTTTTAAAATATAAAAGGACATTCTGTTGTTTTTTTAACACTCGTTTAAATACACATCTATTTTTCTTGAATTCCAATGATAATTATTCTGACATTGAAATATCGTAATCGCATTAAAATCTCTTTTAATCAGATAAAAATTGATATTTTTCTTATACCTGTTCAACAAAAGCTACATAATTAAAAGTAACGGTTGTAATGAGTTCAAAGCGGTTTGAACCCAGTCTATAGAATCTTGAAGTGGTTACCCTTCACTGCGTTTATCATGTGATTTAATAATCCGTTTGTTCGGATGATCCTCGAGTGATGTTCGGATGATATTCGGCCGTTATAGCAGGCTTGGCTGTTTGATGTACAATACTGTGTTTGATATACAAACTTAAATTTTCACTCAAACTCAATTTTGTAGCTTCAGAGAACTAAAACTTTAACTCAACATGGTGGGTTATCACTAAGTTTTAAATTTTAATAGGAAAGGATGAAAAAATAAGATATACTCACTTAGAATGAAATTCTCGATTTCAACGGCTGTGCTAATTATTTGATATGATATCTAATTTCCCCCAATCGTTTGGTGAGCGGTTTGCTATGGATCCCGATTCCATTGGTAACCATTTCCAGAACAACATGCAGCTGCATGCGTATTGTAGTTCAATCTATGCTCAAATAATATCTTCATCCAACATCTCTAAGCACTTGCTCACAATCAATATCTGATTCTTGACCATCTTTTTACTTTTTATCTATTTCAAGCTCAATTACGAGCTGCCAGATATATTGAAAAGCTATTGGCAATGAATATTTTATCACAGATCAATGTGCACAAAGAAAATAGCTTTCACAAATCAAAAAACCCTTAAATAAAACACATCACAGGTGAGAAAGTGATAAGCTAAATAGAATTAAATAAAAGATATAAAAGGAAATAAAATATGAAGAATTAAATAAAATGTAGCTAATTAAAATACACATACGATTGAAAAAAAAGAATCATATAAAACAATCCTTAAAGTTATAGTACAGCTCTAAAATAAAATTTAAAAAATGAATGAATGAAAAAGATGAAAAAATAAACAAAAATGTGCCTGATAAAATATTCTTTGAATATATTTTGTAAAGATATCACATATAAAAATTCTTATTAATACTAAAAAATTATTCCAAAATCAAGTTGTTTGAAATTATTTATTTCGTTTGTGTCCCAGATTCCTAAGGACTGAAACATGAAATTCTGCCACAATTTTAAATCCTCTTGAAGTTCTTCTTTGCTTAGATCAATGTTTTGCTTATAAAAAATCTGAATATCAAAATCCAAGTTTTTCTTTAATAAGAATATCAAATTTTTATAACATAAATGCTCTCCAGTATTGCTAGATCTATTGCTATAATTGATTTTATTGCTGTTGTTTTTAAAATTTTCAAGCCGAATTAAGTAATTGGTGTTTTTTTTCAACATTTCAATAAATTCTTTTGTTCCTTGCAAATATAAAAAACTGTTGATATTTGTAATAATCATAAACATGTTTTTAATTGTTCTAACTCTAAAATATAAGAAAATTGTTTCATCTGAAACAAAAATTGTTGAATTTTTCCTCCACTCGTTAGCATATAATACATCAAATTCTAAAATGAGTTTCACTAGTATGATAATGTCATATTGATCAAATACAAAGAAATTATCAAATAACACGATTATCAACTCGCTTAGCTTCGAAAGCAATATCCAGCAAATTTTATTGATTGAACTTGTCTCAGAATTCGTTAGACATATCTGAATATAACTAGAGAAAAGTAATCCAAATTTGTAAATCTGTGAATTTTTAAAACCTGTCATTTTTCCATTATTAGTATTTGAGCCCTCTTTCTTAACTATAAAATCAATAAATAACTCTTTTGTTGAAGAATCCGTCAAAATTTTTAACACCTCTTCATTAAATAAGTTCAGTTCTTTCCTTAAAAGTTGGTCAATAAATATATTTTGAATAGTAACTGTGGAGTTTTCAATTTCAACTGAATAAATTTTATATCTTAAACTATTTTCAAACTCTTCATTCTTAAAACTTAAATTGAGTTCTTCCATTAAATAGTGATAGTCCAAAGTTTTAAAATACGTATATAATATATTATTATTAGTAGGTTTAAAAATTAAAGAGCAGGAATTCAAAAATTTTAGTATTTCTTTTACAAAATTTTGAAACCATTCAAAATTTATTTCTTCTTCTTTTCGTCTAGAATATTCAATCCGAAGACTTCTCATAAATTCTTTAATTACCTTTTCTCCATCTTGATATTGACTAGAAATAATGTTTGTCAACAAATTGATCACTATATCCAATCTTCTGATTTTAAAACTTTCATAGTCCATCTCTTGCCAAAATAACTCTTTTTTCAATGATAATTTAGTTAATTTGTATGCATTGTCATTTTTCTTGATCATTTTAAAAAAATTAAAACAAATCACTGATTTCAGGCTAACGATATTGCAAAAAATACATAATAAAATATAATACTCCATTTTTGAATCATACCAAAAATTATCTCTAAATATATTAAAAAGCCAAAATATCTCAAAATAATTTCTAATATCTGAAAGAGTGTAGAACAAATTTGAGCCTGAAATCATAGAAGAGTTTAAAAATAATTCGGGCCAAGTAATATTTATTAGAGAATCCCAGTTATTTAAATTCAAATCAACTAATAATCTGCAAATTTCCGCAAAATTATCTATCATTGTTTCAATATCAGAAACAAATCTATTGTTTAAAAAAAAATTTTGAGAATTTAATGCATTTCTAAAATATTTTTGCAACAAATGACGAATAGGATTAAATATTTCTTTTTCAAATTTTTTTGCATAATAGAAAATACTATTATTTTCTTCTAAATAATTCAAACTGAAATAATTCATATCTTTATAAAGTTTTCTAGCCCTGGATATAACAAAACGAAGAGTCTTTGAAAACTGAGAAATAAAAGATGAAAAGCAAGAGAATTCAAATAAAGGAAGGCGAAAAAACAAAGGTATCACATTAAAAAATATTCCAAGCATATTTTGGTCGTCTGTCATTAACTGCAAAAATCCAGAAAGCTTGTAAAGAAATTCTATTAAAATATCAGAAAATTGCTGTAATAATAATGTTTCCTTTCGCACTTCTCCAATACTTCTGATCATCCTTGAAAGAACCAAATGAAAAATATCTACTTTTATCTTTTGTTTTGGCTGTGTAAAAAGTCTAATTTCAACAAAATTAACCAATGAAAATAAACACTTATATAGTAACTGTAAATCATTCTCATTTGAAGATAGCCTTTCTGTTAAATAAATTATTTGCTTTGAATAATCGATATTTGATATAAAAGAAAGAATAAGATATATGTTGATTCTATTTATATTATTTTGCACTAACTTTTTTACTATTATCTTTCCAAAATTATCTTTATTGATATCATTATCTTTTATAATATTGACTGAAGGCTCAAGAAATTGAACTAAGTTCCTAGTTATTTTGAATTCATTGTGGGCATGAAATCTTAATAATGTTTTAATAAATATTGTAATGAAACTGTAGTTAGGCCGTAATTTTGAACTAAAAAAGTGATTATCCTGATATTCAACTATTTTCAAATTCAACTTTTCATCATCACCAGACTTAAACTCAATTGACTTTAAAATATTAAAAAGTGAACGAACAATTTTTTTGTTGGGGATGATTTTAAAATCAACTATTAAATTAACAGTATGCGAAAATAACAATTTATAATTGTGAAAAATAAATCTATCTTCACTATTGCTTTCACGATAATAATTGATTAAATATGTCGATATGTCGGTTGTAAGTTGCCAAAAATCATCTAATGTGGTTTTTTGCTGATCACCTGTGTTGATAAAAATAAAAAGATACAAAAATTGGAACAATTTGGTTATATTTTCCAATTTAACAATATCCTTTAAGAAAAAATTAAAAAGCTTATAAAACTCTAAATTTTCAAGCTCATCAATGAATTTATAAGTAAATAAATTTTGCAAAGTCCATTTGGATAAATAAAAGCAGTCATATATTGGAGTGGAAAAGTTACTTTCATTAGATAAAAGCATGAATAAACTGGAGGGATTGCAATTTTCAAAAGAAAACTTAAAGAACCATTCTGAGAGTGATCTTGTAAGTTTATTAAATAATTCCATGAATTGAACTTTCATTGTATTAGATGCTAACGTATTTTCATTATTATTATAGGTTGTAACGACGTAATATATTTGGTACAATGCCCAAAGAACCAAGAACAAGTTTGAAAATGCATAAATTATAAAATATTTGCAAATCTTTCTCTGATATGAAGAATAATTTTTTATAACTATTTTAAAATATATTATAAAACTTTCTAAGGATTTTAAAAATTTGTGAGTTTTCCTTTGTAATTGAATGAAATTTGAATCAAATAAGTAATCAACTTTTAACTTCAAAACAAATTTCAAGATTTTCTGGAAGTTATTATATATTTCCTGAAAAGAATTTGAATCATTTTCAAAAGGGCTACCAACAGATCGATATAAAAATAAGATTTTATTGAAAGCTTCATCAGAAGAGCTTATAAAATCAAAACCATTATTGTCATCAAACTGTTGAAAGTTTTTAATATCCATAATATTTTTAACTAAACTTTGATTTAAGAAACTTGTATTTTTAATTTTTATTTTTTCAAAAAATACCATTTCTTTTATGAAATCAATAGAGATACTATCATCCTCAATTATAGCATTGCTGAAACTCTGAAATAATGATAGTGTTGAAAATATTTCCTTAATGTTATCGTCATCATCATCATCATCAATATTATTGAACTGTACTGCTTTCTTCAGCCGTACAGCAGTGAACTTTCCACTTGGAGCTTCAATTTGTCTAGGGTAAAACCGGGGTTCAACAAAATGATCATAAATGCTCTCCAGTACATTATGGATGGTTTTATTGTTATAGAGGGTTTGATTTTGGTTTTGGTTTTTCGTCTTTTTCCTATTCAAAGTTGATTGGAAACGCTTAATTTCAAAACTTTTTTTGCAAACTGGTGATTGGTTGAAGAGTGATGTAAGTGTTGTTCTTTTTTGGGGGATTATATTTTTTGATATCGCGTTATGCATGTGTCTCTTTCTGCTACTAGTTATTGGTGGTTTTGGTTTGTGTAAACTGGTCAAATTTTTTTCATTCTCAACAGTCTTATTTTTGATTTTATTAACGCTAATAATACTGATATCATCATCAAAATCATCAAATTGAAAATTATCATTTGTAAATTGGTTGATGGAAAATTTAGAGCTAAAATCAGAAAATTTGTCTAAAGGTGATGTTTGGTTTGTATCAGTTTTATTATTTAAATGTTGATTCTTATTGATTTCATAGAAATTGTTTATTTTTTCATTGCAAACATGATCAATCCTAACTGAATTATTATTAATTTCAATAATTGAATCGTTGAAAGCAGTTGTGTCGGAAAGTGATTGAGTATCATATGTAAATTCCTTTTGTAAATTTCCGGCTGAATTAATATTGATATTCAATTTTGAAAATTTTTTTTCTGCCAATCCTTTTCTTTTCGGTCTTTCTAAAACTTTTTGTTTCGCTTTTGAAGCAGAAGATTTGGGTATGTTATTAAATTGATGCAACCTCCAATATGATTTGGGTAAAACATGTTTTGCAGCATTGATCTTAGATCTTAATTTTTTAGAAGAAATTTTTCTTTTACGAGAAGATAGTAAATAATTTGTAATTATGTGAGATGAAACAGATACCTCATCTTTCTGATCATCCATAATTTTATGGTTGCTGACTGGCAGCTTATTACTTTTGGTGAGATCACCACGAGAATTATTATAAGTATAATCATGACCATCATCTGAGCTTGGATATAATTGTAAATCCAAATTTGAGGTTTTTCTATTTTGGAAATTTTTACTGGCATAATCTATTTTGCGTGTGTTATTTGGTACATTTGAAAACAAATCGTCATTTAAATAAAACAATTTGAGATCTTCTGGAGTGGGAAGCTCGTTATTATCTTTATCAGAATAATCACTATGATCATTATTAGTGTCATTTTCGATTTTGTTTGTATTTTTAATATCAAAAACATCGTTATCATCAGAAAAGTTATAGCTGTCGGAGTGACTATAAATATCGGAATCAGTGTAAACTAAGTAATTTGGATTATTGGTAAAATTGTTGGAAGATAGGATAGCATTTTCATTATTTTGAATAACATCAAAATATGAATTATTTTGGGGGGTTATATAAGACTCTGGATTTAAATTAGAATCTGGATCTGAGTTTATGTTAGAATTTGAGATTTGAGAAGAAATAAATGATTCTAAATCCGAATTTGAGTCAGAATTTGAGTCAGAATCTGAAAATATGTTTGGTAATTTCAATCTTTTGTTTGCAAACTTTAAGTTTTCATCATAATTGATTTGGTCCAATTGTTTATAAAAAGTTTTCAATCTTTTTGATTTTGATTTTGATCTATTTTCTTTAGATTTCAATTCTTGTGATATGTCTTTAAGATTATTTGAGGTTTGATTGAATTTTTGATTTAAATCTTTGTCAGATGGATTTGAATCTTGGTCAGAATCTTGAAGATATAGATTGAAATTTTTTTTCAATTTTTTTTGTCTTTTAAAGAGAAAATCGATTTTTCTTTTTTGTATTAAGCTTTTCTTTTTTTCAGCAATCAATTGTTCATTTTTTTGTAGATCTATTCTTAATTTTTCTATATTGGAAGGATCAAAATCGTTAACAGCAATTTCAAATAATCTTGCTTTCTCTTTGTCACCTTCAATTTGGGTAGTATATTGTTTGGATTCCAATGAATAAGGTAGTATTTGGATTGGTTTTCTTTGTCTTAATCTTTTGGTGATTGAGTTTTGGTTAGAACTGTTTGAATTATTTGAAGCATTTAAATTATTTTGAATTGATAAGAATTCGAAATCTTGATCAACTTTAGAGTTATCAATTGTAGATTGATCCATGATTTCATTTTCTGTATTGGTATTATTTGTAATGATTTTTTTGAAATTCAATTGAGTTTCTAATTTTGCCAAATCATTTTGACTTTCAGGTTGAGAAGGGTTTTTTATTGAATTTTGGTTTTGATTGTGAGTTTGATTGCGAGTTTGATTTTTGAAATATAGATCAATTTGATCATTTAGGTATTGAGAATTTGAATTCTGATTCTCCTGATTATTGAATATAATCCAAGCATTCTTTTGAGCATTTAATAATAAATTTTTATAGTTAATATAAAATTTATTTTTTTTTTTAAGATGCTCATCAGTTTTTGAGAAACGGATTTCAAAAGTTTTTGAATTGTTAATGTAGTGGTTTAATAAAAATTTGACAAATGTTTTGTAATCTGAGTTATTAATTAGATCATTTGAGTTGGTTAATAGAG